GTGAGTGTTTGTTCATCTCTGAATTCCTGAAGATGCCTGAGCAATCTTCCTCCTCACCTTCAGTGGCACTGTCCCTTCTGGGCTTGAATTCTCCTGCTGTGCCTGATTAGAGGTTTCTGTTGAGCACTTACTCCTGGCAACTGCTGTTTTACCAGAAAAGCCCCGCTTGAAATAGATCAGTGCAAAGCAAATAACTTGAAAACCTTATTCTTTGTTCTGTCAAACTAATGTTAAATAGCTCAACTTCTAAATGAGTGTGGGGTTTGCCTGTAGTGCAGGAAAATTGGTGAGGGGAAGTGTGTTTGTTGAATTTTACCATTCTCACTCTGAAAACAGAAAACCCAGTTAAGTAACATGGAGCAGATCTGCAGGTGAGATAACTCTGGAGGAATAATGTGGGAATTTGACAGCCTCAATAGCTTGAGATCCAGTGCAGGGCATGAGGTGCACTCAGGAGTGAACACATGGTAATGGAGTGACTGTTTCTGGTTTGGGATTCACGTTTAACTCCGGCCATACTAAAATAAGACAAAAAAAAGAGGAACTTTTCTCTCGAGGAGTGTCTCCTGGTGAGAGATTATGGAATTCTGTGCCGTTTGGATGTTAACTGGTAGCAGCCACACGGGGGCACGGCAGAACAAAGCAGCTCTCAGCAGCCCCAGAGTGCACTGCCTGGCTACAGGCTACAGTGCTGTGAAATGCTCACACCTGGTGTAACTTCTTGTGTGAAAGCAGGCCTGCTGTTCTCTATGCCCACATAGAATTATTGGCTTAGGTCAGGGTCTAATTAGGGGTTTTCTTTCAGAACACTTATGCTAAGCTCCACATTCCAAACATGCCTTTTTCAGGAAAACTGGTACACCTCCTGTGCCACCTGAATTCTTTACAAAATGTGTGGAAAATAGCTATCTGTTTCCTTTAAATATTCCTAGAAAGGAAACCCATTTTTTCTTCTGCCATTCAATAATGAAGTTGTCTTATTGGCAGTGCTTTGGGTTGAGTTTTCCTCCTGCTTTGTCCACTGTCAAATCTGAGTGACTGTCAACAAGAAAATATTTTTCTTTTTGCAGGCAAAACTGTGCAAGGGTGTGTTCTGGAGTTACTGTGACACTAATGCCTGTTTCTCCCGCAGCTGTTCTGCAGAGAAAGGTGGAAGAGGTGACAAAGGTTTGTGAGAGTCGCCGCAAGGAGCAGGAGCGCAGCTTTCGGATCACCTTTGATTGAAACACTCCCACGGTCAAAGGATGAACATAAAACCTCCACAGAAAACAGAGGTGTGTGGGAGCTGAGGACTGAAACTCTTCTTTTCTTACAATAAAATGTGTTGTTTGTTCAAAGCCAGTCTTTGTGGTGTTGGACTGGATTTCACCTGCTCCCATCAAAAGCTGGATGAAGTTTGTGCAGGAAGTGTGTGCTCTTTGTGCTTTAGCTGTGCCTGCAGACTGGTGAGATAACAGAAATGCTGCTTTGGAGGGCTCTGCATGGTTTTGTATGGTTTTGGAAGGAGACTGCAAGGGTGGCTTCTGTGAGAAGCTGCCAGAAGCTTCCACCCTGTCCAGTAGAGCCAGTCCCTGGTGGCTCCAAAAGACAGACAAGTTGCTGGCCAGGGCTGGGCCAGTTAGATATGGTGGTAATGCCTCTATGAAACAGATTCAAGAAGAAAAAAAACAAATTTGTGGCTCAGTTGTAATTATGGTCAGAGAGGAGGGGAGTGAAAACATGTGAGAGGAACAACTCTGCCGACACCAAGGTCAGTGGAGAAGGAGGGAAGAGGTGTTCCAGGCACTGGTGCTGCAATTCCTCTGCAGCCTGTGGTGAGGACCATAGTGAAGAAGCTGTGCCCCTGCAGCCCATGGGGATGCAGAGATGCACCTGCAGCCCACGGAGGAGCCCCATGCCAGAGAGGAGGCTGTGAGCCAGTGGTGGAGATACCCTGCTCTCAGGCTGCAGCAGCCTGTCCTTGAAGGACTCTGTGGCAGAGTGACCCATACTGCAGCAGTTTGAGAGGGGCTGTTGCTTGAGAGATGGCCTCACATCAGGCAAGTTCACAAATGTCAGGAAAATTAATCCACAAACACCAGAGGTTTATGTCTCAAAAGGAGGCAGAGGAGTCCTTTTACTCTATTTGAATAAAGGGAGAGGCCATGGGGCATTCCCCTGGGATCTCTAAAATTTTTGGAGGATGCAGCCTCCTTTTATCCTATTTTCCCAGCTGCATTTCCTTCTCTCTTTTCCCATTGGCTGAGGTACCTGAGAGGCAGAGACTTCCTGGAACGCCTGATACCTAAGATTCCTCTCTAATGTATAACCTTCCCTTTTAATTTTTAATTCTTATAGAATTAATGGTTTTCCCCATTGGTTCTTTCATCTTTCAATATCCAGTTTCATTTATCAGCAAACCTGCAGCTTGTTTGTAAAGGCAACTATCTTTTTTTTTTTCATTCATCAATCAGTGGCATTCTTCCCATTGTTTCTTTCATCTCTCAGTGCTAGTCTTACCTACCAGCAGACCCACAGCTTGTAAGGACAAATCCGTCATTCCTCTCACAGAGAACTGTCTCCCGTGGGAAGGACCCCACGGTGCAGCAGGGAACGACTCCTCTCCCTGAGCATCGGGAAAAACACGGGTGATGAACTGACCAGACCATGAGCCCCATCCCCGTCCCCCTGCGCTGGCATGGGTGGGGGGGGGAAGATGTTTCTACAGGTTGATTTTACTTCCCATTATCCTGCTCTGCTTTAGTTAGTAATTAATTTATATTACTATATATAATTAAATTAAATTTATTAATTGTAATAGTTACATATATATTTATTTATTAAATTAATAATTATACCTTAATTTATACCTCTAAGTTGAGCCTGTTTTGCCCGTGACGGCATTTGATGAGAGATCTCTTCCGGTCCTTATCTCAACCCACGAACCCCGCATTAAATTTTCTCTCGTCTGTTTATCTACAGAGGGGAGCGAGTGTCTTTGGGGGGAGGCCGGGCATCCACTCCGGGCCAGCCCTCGCCAAGGCTCCGC